GCAGCAGCAGCAGCAGTAGTGGTAGTAGTATCATTATTAAGTGTATACCATAATTTCTTGTTTTGAGTCCCATTGACAATGTTCTGTGTAGATCGAGGAGAAAGCAAATTATATGTTCGTTTCCGTGGCCGAGTTTGCCATGTTTTCTTGGCCTTTTTTACCCAACAGATTGTGCATTCTTCTTCTCTTTAACTGATAAAATTATGATACTCCGCAACGTTGAGCATTTAAACAGCTGTGTGTGTGTGTGTGTGTGTGTGTGTGTGTGTGTGTGTGTGTGTGTGTGTGCATGTGTGTGTGTATATGTGTGTATGTATGTGTGTGTTTGTGTTTGTATGCGTGTGTGTATATGTGTGTTAGTGTGCGCGCGCGCGCGTGTTCTGTCCTGTTTTGTACATACTGTTATTATCATGTATTATGATAAAATGTTACCAATAAATATGACTTGTTTGTTTGTCTTCAGATCATCTAAAGAAGCCTTTGGAAGATTATGTGGCGAAACTGGGCAAAGTGAAGATCACGCGTACACAGAAGAGAGAGGGCCTGATCCGTGCCAGGCTGCTGGGCTTCTCCGTGGCCACGGCGGACGTTGTGACGTTCCTCGACTCCCACTGCGAGTGTACCAAAGGTGAAGTGTTATAGAAGAGGCTCTCGTCGTGGTCTTTTTTGTTCTTGTTTTGGAAAAAAATTTTTATGGCGCTGACAACTGGCGGCAACTGCATAAGGTCGTATGAGCGCGTGTCTCGTGGTCTTGAGATACCGTGTTCACCTGTCATTCTATACTCCCTGGTTTGAAACCTGAGAGCAATGGGAAAATTCTCTTTGTTAAAAAAAATATATATTCTACTTTCACCGTACCTGCTCTGTTGTCTTTTGCTATCGTCTCCACTTTCTGCTGCCTTTTCTACTGCTACTCCCTGGCTCCTTACTGCTACCGTCCAGCCACATCCCTGATCTTAGGGTAGGTAAGATCTAACATTTACCCTTCTCGGATAAGAACGAGAAAATCTGGGAGGTCCCGTTCGCAAGCTGTGCACGTTAATCAAAGTTCCAATGATGGTCTTAAAAGGGTCCGTCTTTAATTTCTTTTTTTTTTTTTTAAACTGGGGTGTATCCCACACAGCTGTGGTCGTCCCGAACGAGCGGGACCAAACCGGCCTGAACTCCAAAAGGATGTGTGCATTCTCAGCCTCAAGCGAATTCAGGCAGTAGGGATAAGCTCGCTATGGCCCTAGGCTGCCACGCCACTCCGAATTCGTAACCCGATATCTTGTGAGAAGGGGGAACTACTCTGCTCAGCTTGTTGATAACACGCTGTTGTTTCAGTTACTTCCCCTACTTTTTGTTTTTGTGGCGAATGCCGAGTTCCATAATTCTTTTTTAACTTATATCGTTTTCTTCTCTGAGACGTTTCTTTTTTCTATTCACACGCCGACATTTGAGCTGAGGTTAGCACAGTGTTTTTCTTCACCTACTGTAGGCCTGCTTGTTTTCTCAGTGCATTTTTGGTAGTAGGCCTTATAATAAGACAATGATCCTTGCGCAAAAGTGGATGGATAGTGCCACTCTTGTTTCTGTCTGTCTGTCTGTCTTCGGTCTGTCATTCTGTTTTGCAATTTACGGAATTTTACGACTATAACTGTTTCAATTCCTTTTGTTGATTACCCGTTCGGTGTTATGTCTGTCATTACTATCAAGGCCTAGTTTTAATATTCTTTTTACTCAGAGGCTAGGTGCAGAGTCTGTCTTGCATTTTTCAAGTACCATATATCCGTTGGAAGGTGAAAACAGAATCTTAGCAGTAGAAATGTGGTTTTACAGAGAACTGCTTTGGGTCAGATGGACAGATTAAAGAACAAATTAAAGTATCTTGAAAGAACTCGATACAGCTAAGTATGCTTTCTGAGATCAACAAGAGGAGAAACATAAACCCAGACCTGATGACAACTGTGCTGCCCGGCAAAGTAGAGGCAAAGAGGAAAAAGAGAACATCTCTTGCTTTATACACTGAAAATGTTAAATGCGACAGTGGGGTACAACTTATGAAAGTCTGGGGGAGATGGAGGCCTGTTATGGTGTGGAATGGGGCATCAAAATATGTTTAGTTCAGTAAGCGTTTCATGGAGCTTTCAACTGCATAAGGTCTTATGAATGCACGAAACCTAATTTGGTTGCATTCACAACACTTCATAGCTCAACTTGATTTTTGTCAATGAAATGTTGAAAAATTCGGGGTTAAAAAAATCTCAATCTAACGTCAAAGTGTGAACACGGCCATGTTGACAGGTCACATTATGTTACACAACCATTACCACGTATGTGTTTACTATTCTTTACCATCCATGAATGCTGGCTGTAGTGTCTGTCTCACTTTTTCCCAAGCATTCATTACCTGTCCGCTGCTGAGTAAATTTACAATAAATTATTTTTAACACAGAGATTGAATGTACTGCCTATCTTGTTTTTGTCTGTCATGCTACTGCCTGTCTTTTGGGTGGTTGGTAGATGCTCTGGTATGTGCTTCTTTTTTCCTATAAAAAACATGTCGTCCCTTTACCACCTCCTTTTCTTTGTTTGTTACTCTGTTGTAAGCCTACCCGCTCTAACCTTTGATGACCTATTTGTGTTGCAAGTGCCATAAAACTTTTTTTACTTTTACTTTTTTAAAGATAAGATAAGATAATACTTTATTGTCCCAGAGGGAAATTTTTCTTGGCTGTATAGAACAGTAGAAACACATGCTGGTATACATAAAAATGAAATTGTATATTACTCTCATTAAAATTCAATGTGAAAGGAAAAGTAAAGTTGACAAAATGTACCTATCACATCAGATGCATCATTCGACCACATGCAGGAATTTAAAAAACCTGCCTTGCTCTAACATTTATGCTATTCTTTACTCCAAAGGCTGGGTGGAGCCTCTCCTTGACCGTATCGCTATTGACGAGAAGAATGTGGTGTGTCCTGTGATTGATGTCATCGAGGACGACACACTCAAGTACCAGTACGGAAGTGCCAAGTCCACCAGCATTGGCGGCTTTGACTGGAACATGCAGTTCTCCTGGCACGCCATTCCAGAGTATGAAAGAAAGCGACGGGAGAGTGATGTCATGCCCATCAGGTGAGATGCTCGTAAGGTGATGGGTTCGCTTGTGAGTGTGTGCTTTTGGCTCATGAACACACGTACAGGCACACGCACCCATGTTAGCTTGCTGCTCTGTTTGTTTATAACTGCAGGTTGGATTTGTACAAACGGTGAATACATGGCTAGTGAAATGAGTCACTTGATGCATGCACTGTGTCCCAAACTATGTCATTATAACTTATGTTCCTTATCATCTCTTTCCTCACAGGTCACCCACTATGGCCGGAGGGCTCTTTGCGATCAGCCGTAAATACTTTGAGACCCTTGGAACATATGACCCTGGCATGGATATTTGGGGAGGGGAAAATCTGGAGCTTTCTTTCAGGGTGAGACTTAACTAGCCATTTTTTAAATAGTTTTGTTTGACTTGAGATGCTTTCTTTATTGTGTATTTATAATGGGACAAAGCACTCCAGTACTAGCTTAGTCTGCTTGAAGTCACAGCTTTCAGAAACATCTGGTTACCGTTCTCCTTTTATGGAAATATTTATGATTATTACAATGATAATTACAAAAGCAATAGTATTAGTAGAAGTATTGATGACATTAGATATTTGTACAGCTCCCATCTCTTACCATATGCGCATAAGGACTTTTATTTAAACTTGCTTTACAATTACTTGCTGGACTGCAGACATTCAAACTCAGTAACGTATTTTCCTTACATTGGACTTCCAAGATTAGTCGCAAGTCATGTGAGGTTTTGCAACTGTAATATCTTGCCTGTGTGCTTTTATTTCTCCCATTGTTTTCCTGTAGGACCAAGTGATGTTCACAAAAATTAATATGGTTATTGTAATAGAATACTTTCTGCTTTGCGTTCATAAAAAACCACCGGGTGGGGTGGAGGGGGGGGGGTGGTTGGGAGATTGGATTCCAGATAAAGCAAAACAAAACTTGTAGGAACTTTCTTTTTTCTTTATTCGTACCAAAACTAAATTTTTTTCAGGTGTGGATGTGTGGTGGTATCTTAGAAATCGTGCCTTGCTCTCACGTGGGTCACATCTTCCGTAAGCGTTCACCCTACAAGTGGAGGACGGGTGTCAACGTTGTGAAGAAGAACTCCATACGTCTCGCCGAAGTCTGGATGGACGACTACAAAAACTATTACTACGAGCGATTCAATTATGATTTGGTAAGCTTAATTGTACATTAATTGAAAGGCCAGGGAGACATTTTTTTCTCTTGAAAAGACTTATGGCCAGCAACCTTTAACTGATGTGGTGAAATTTTACATTTTTTTTTATTTTTAAAATGTTGGTCCTGGATCGTTGGAAGCACTGCCTAGATACTCATAATGATATGATGAAGTCATGGGTTTTATCCCTGATTCCATTGTTCAAGAGGTGTGTAGTGTTATATGCATAGTTGGCGATGGTAAAAAAAAAGTGATAATGAATAGCAAAATTAGAAAAATAGATGTACTCATTCGCTAGCTTGTAACAATTGGGGGGGAGTCTACAACCTTTGGTCTCCCGTTTATGGGCGTAAGAGGTGTTCAAGCTCACCTAGCTCATTTTTTTAATGTAATGGATGGGGTCTTGGGTGTTACTTTCAGATGACTTGTGTGGAAGCCTATCTTATTGAGCATATCCATTTGCTCAACAATAGAGTTTGGGAACGACGGTAAATGTGTTTTCTCTGTAAAGATTTTCTTTTTGGATGTTTCAGGGTGACTTTGGCGATGTGAGCGAGCGGAAGGCTCTACGAAACAAACTAGGCTGTAAATCGTTTGACTGGTATGTGAAGAACGTCTACCCAGATCTTTTTGTGCCTGGGGAGTCCAAGGCTTCTGGTGATGTAAGTGGTTCTCTTTGGCTTGTGTAGGGGAAGGGAGACAAACTGATCTTTCTCTCTCTCCCTCTATCTCTCTCTGTCTCTCTCTCTCTCCCTCTATCTCTCTCTGTCTCTGTCTCTGTCTCTGTCTCTGTCTCTCTCTCTCTCTCTCTCTCTCTCTCTCTCTCTCTCTCTCTCTCTCTCTCCTTGTCCTGCTCCCCCCCAACTTCTCCTTGTCAAGTCACTCTTTAGTCGTAATGTGTTTTCCCCTTTGTCTCCCCTGTCTTTCCCATGGTAAATTATGTGAAATACGTACAGGGATTTCATTTACTACTGTTATGTTCATACATGTAGCTCTCCGAAGAGTACAATAAGATTTTCAGATTTCGTATCTCTTTGAGCTTGATACAAGTTCCTGTTAGACATTAGCATTAGTCTGAAAATTTGAAGCTTCAGTTTATCTAACACCTTCACATTTCCATCTCCCAGATCCGCAGCAAGGCCAAACCAATGTGCATCGACAGCCCAGCCGACCACCACAACTACCACAAGCCTGTCAACATGTGGCCTTGTCATAACCAGGGAGGAAATCAGGTTTGTTCGGTCTCTCAAGATTTGAAGACGGTTGAAGGATAGCACTGTTTGGCTTATTTTAAAATCTTTACCTCTGTTGTTTTTGTCTGTTTGTCCTGCTCTTTCTATGCATCATTTTGTTGATGTCCTCCTCTTTGCTGAAATAGATTCTTAACATTTCTTAGTACTCAACTAAACTGATTATGCCCAAATTACTATGACCTGTTCAGCTGTTCACCACTATTGGAACTTTTAAATCTGAGAAGATGATGTGGGCTTAGCCATTAAAAGATGCAGTCAGTGGAGAGGTGTCTTGCGAAGATGAATATTTGATATAGCTTTAAAAAAATCATTATGAATAAGGTAAAGGAATGGGTATGGTAAAGAATAGCCCATCGATGGTAGGCTCTACATACTATTTTTGTGAATTGAATTGCAGAATATGCACATAGTTCTTTTTTATTCTTTATAGATCTTCAAAGGGAAGCCTTCTTTATTGAGCGTTTCCATCTTTCTCATGTTTTGTTTTTCTGGAGCAGTACTGGATGCTGAGCAAACTTGGAGAGATAAGAAGAGATGACGGCTGCCTGGACTACTCCGGTGGCTCTGATGTGATTATCTACCCTTGCCACGGACAGAAAGGAAACCAAGAATGGGAGTACAGAGAGGTGAGTGACTTCAGACTGCTATTATTGTATAAGAGACTGTGTACAGCCACTGCTGAAAAAGCGTAATGTTTGTTTGACTTAAGGAGTAAATAGAGAGATGTAGATCCTTCAAAATATTTTCCACTGTCAGTGAATGGGCTATCTAGAGGGATGTGGACATGATCTCCTCCTTGATTTTTACAAAATGAAGAACTAAATCTTTAAAACACTATAGTGAGTTTGCTTTAGATATGGTATAATATAGTGGACTTGTTTAATAATTTACTGGTTTGTGTAAAATTTCAGAAAGCTGTTTAAATCAGGGGCAAGGAAAACTATAAAGCCATTATTCAAATAAAAGTTATTTATCTTGTTGTTGACAGCTTTTAGGAAAAGAAGCGAAACCCTGACATTTTTTGTGGCTTTTTAATCCTCAGGACAACACTCTGCTGCACGTAAATACACAGAAATGTGCAGAGGTCTCCGTAGATGGCAAGAAACTGACCATGAAGTCATGCACTGGAGTTGACCGTCAGATCTGGGTGTGGAAAAGGAAAGCTCCTTCGGGTATTGTACCTGATGAGCACTAGCATAGTCATCCAGTCATCATGATGTTTGGTTTGGGGGGGGGGGGGGGGGGG